CGCCCCACCCCGCCCCACCCCGCCCCCAGCATCATTTATGCTCCTTTCCCCATCTTGTCTCTTTTTGTTTCTGTGTGTCAGCACTGAGTGGCAGGTGTGGTAACTCCCGAGACTACAGCACTGTGCCTGCTATGCTCTGGGAATAAAGTGTCTACACAGAGTCAGGGGAGTTAGGGGAGCGCAGAGAGTTGATGGGAAGAAAGTCCTGGGAGAAGGCCAGTGGGAGGCGTGAGGGTTCCAGACTTGCTCTAGCCAGGAGGGCTGCCTCCATGCAGTGGGGGGAAAGGCCCCTAAAGTCACTGAGAGGCAGGGTCTTGCTTCCCTCCCCCCATTCCACCCACCGACATCCCTGCTTCTCTCGTCTCTCCCTCTCTGTCTCTCCCTCTCTTTCCTTTACCCCCTTCTCACTGTCACGAAGGACTTGCAGGCCTCGCCGTCTCCCCTGCTGGCGGCAGCTGTGGGGGCACAGACAAGACCCTGGTTTCTGACAACTGTAACAACCCTGCCAGGTAATCCCTCTGTCTGAGTGGGGTCTCCTTGGCAACCTGGCTATGCCTACAGTGGGCAGAAGGCCCTGCAAGAGCAGGAGAAACCTGCCAGGGCCAAGGTGGAGAGGGTATCCCCGGTAGGGGGCCAGCTAGTATAGAGGTCAAAGGACAGGAAAGCACTTGGTGGTCTAAGGGAAGCTTCCAGGGTCAGAGGGAGAGCAGCTTTGGGATTCGCTCACCCAGCACTTGCTCTGCAGGCATGGTGCATTTGGGGACTCCACATTGACCTGATTTATCAGTCAACAGAAACTCGTTAAGCTCTAGTGTGGTGTTGCTATTTCCTCTGAATACAGCCCTTCCGGAGTGGGGAGGAGTTCCTAAGGCTCCAAGGAGTGATATTTCCAAGGCTTAGGAAGCTCAGGAAATCACGAGGTTCACAGGGCTCCTCTCAGGGGTAAGCACTCGCTGGTAGAGGAGACTGGGGTGGGGCTGTAGGCAAATTGTGCAAGGAGCTCAAGAGATGCTGAGCTGTCACTCATGGTCACTCATGTGGGGTGGGCTCTTCCACGAGGCTGTTGCCTGAGAGGCAATTATGATCCTCCTCTAAGCAGCCTAAATCCAGTGGTTCACGGAGCTAGGCTGGAGCTGTTCCTATGGTCTCTCACTGGTACCGTATGGGGAATGAATAGGTGTTTGTTCATGTCTCCCTAGGAAAAGTCACACAACTCCCTGTGACATGCCAGTCACTGGGAGCTCAGTGGAGGACAAAGACAGTCAGCCTGAGATGCTGGCTCTCTGAGGACTCTTGGTCGTGTGGGGAAGGTACAAACCTGGGGCCATGTTTGTCCCTTGCTGTGTCAGATAACTTGTAACCATCCAGCATCTCTGACCCTCAGAGATGATGGTGCTTGGGCTACTAGTTTTGGGGACAGAACTGTGAAGTATACAGCTCTAGGATGTGATCTGGGAAGGACCATGTGGAGACGCTGAACAACTCTCCCGAACTCACAGCCATGGAGTACAGAGTGAGTTCACAGGTCTCAGGCGTAGGCAGTCTGAGTGTCCCACAGCAGCCATTCTCAAATCCACATATGACCTTGGGGCAAGAGACGTGCTGGTAGTTCCCCGTGAAAAACCAGGGTTGTTCATGCAGGAGAGAATTCTTCAGAGAGGCGGCAGCCAGATGGGAATCCCGCTAGACTGTCTGATTAAGGGAGGACAGAGGAGTGAAGAAGGGAGAGGAGGGGCAGAGAGGGAGTGGTTAGAAGAGAAGGGAAGAGGAGGAAGAGAGGGAGAGACATGGGGAGGAGGAGGGAGAAGGAGGAAGAAAGAAGAAAAGGAAGAAGATGGCCTCGTGGGGAAGCAGAGCAGGAGGGGCAGGGGCAAGGAGGAGGGCAGAACTGAGGAGGTGGGGGAGGTCTCTAAGGAAGTCTCTGACCCCCTTTCCCCTGCATCTCCAGCACCAAGGCCCTGGGACTCCACTCTACAGGGGGCCACCTGGCCTTCCATCTTCATGTCTTTTTCTCTGCTCTGGGGACTGACTTCTTAGAGTACTCTGTTCCAGGAACTCTGGGAGAATCTGCAGGCTCCTCCCCTCTCTTCTTTCTTTCATTCCGCTTTGCCTCAATTCCTGTTTCTTTAAGATGGCGAACTGTGCTCTTCTGAGGTAGATGGCACCTGGGTACAACTTTATTCCCTGAATAAGGACCAAGAACCAAAGGAGCCAAGAATTGTCTGTTAGTGGAGATGGTGCCTTTGGTCATCACATAGACTGGCCACACGATGGCGCAATGGGACCATTGAGCACAAGGCCAGTCAGCCTCTCCAAAGTGCCACTGCTTAGCCTGGTGGCATTTCTGTCCTGGAAATGGTCCTTTGGCACCAAAAGTTCTCTGCTTTGTTTGGCCACCGTCACCCTGCTCATAACCATCCACAAATGCATACCACACATACACTCACCACACACAGAACACACAGGTGCAACTACATATTCATGTACCACACACAGACTACACACTCCAAACAGACTATACATACAACTGCACATATACACAGACCACACACATCTAGCTACAAAATATGCATTGCACACATCATACAGACTGTTCACATACAGCCACATGCATAATACACCAGACAGACCACACACATACAATTACATATATATATATATGTATATATACCACACAGCATGTTACTCATACCACCCCTACACCACACAGGGAAGGAGTTACAGAGATCCCCTGTTTTTCCCCTTTTCCTCCTTCTTCCCTTCCTCTCACTGCTCTCACTTCCTTTTCTTCCTTCTCCTTCTATATCCCTCCCCTTAATGCACCTGGGCAGCTGATGTATCACTTGGTCTGCCTGAGCAGATGGACCCCAATTGTCCACATGAGGTCTCCCATAGACCTTTCCTCCTGGAAGCTCAAGGACCATAGGGGGCACAGGAAAATGTTGCGTTAGCCTCCAGGCACCTCAAAAGGAACAAGAGCTCAGAGCTATAGGCAGACATGGCGCTGACCACTGACTAGTATGGCCAGTGGTGCAGCTTTCATGGACATGGTTTGGAAGATCATGGGACCACCAGCCAGGCTAGGAGAGAATGGCTCAATGTGACACTGCTTGGGCGAGGTCACCAGAGTGAATTCCAGGAGTGCTCAGAGAAGAACAGTGTCCAGTGAGGATGGTAACGATTGTGGCAGATGACAAGAGGAACTACTTCGTCTTGCCAAGTACTTACCCGACTAGCCACTGTGCTGGGCACCTTCAGCATCTTTCTCATAGAGAGGGTGGGAGGGGTATTTAAAGGAGACTATATTTAAAGGCAACAAAGCCTGGCACACAAGCTAGCTAGGTACATTTGATTTTAGAGCTGGAGAGAAACCCTCTCTGGTTAAGTTAATGGGCTGGCTACTCTGGGGCCGTTGTTGTAGCCTATTCCATTTCTCACCATTGTTTTCCTGTTGGAAGGATTGTCCCGAAGCTGACGTAGGATCCTGATTTAATGAAGCAATAACCAGGGAAATGACTTCCAATTGATTATTAAGCATTTGTTTATTAGAGTGCGGTATCTCTGACCCCAATAGCTGCTAAGTAGTCATTAAATATCAAGGAAGATGTTTCTGTTTATATATTTTGTTTATTTACCGTCATGAAAACATCATTGCGTCAATTAAATGTCGATTAGGGGGCCTGTGATTTGAATCAAATTATATACACAGTGTCAAATCATTTTCATGTTTCTGAGATATAATCTATTTTTGTTTTAATATTTAATAAAATTCCATCCAAGTGTTAGGGGCTGAGGCTGGCTGGAGTGATGCCTGGCTTCCTGCCCTTCCCAATTGATTTCTCCTTCTTGACTGCAGCCGGGGACAGCATGAAGGTGGATTTGCTCAATGGTGGGCATTTGTGGAGGGGCTGGCTATTTTGCCACTGTCATTTTTTGGTTTAAAATTATTTTTTTCTCCTTCCTGCCTGCTCTTCTCCCCCCCCAGCCTCCTGTTTCTCTTTCTTTCTGTGTAGTGTGCATGCATATGTGACTGCATGTTTGCCTGTGTGGGTGGGTCCGAAGCAGATAACAGGTATCTTCCTTGATGGCCCCTACAGGGTCTCTTGATACAGCTTGCCCCGGGATCCTGTTTTGGCCTTCTAAGGGCTAGGATTACAGGAGGCTGCCACACCTGCCTTTTCTAAGGATCCACCCTCAGGTCCTCACACTTGCAAGACAAACACTTTATCCACAGAAACATCTCTTCAGCTCTAAGCTAATTTCTTAAAAATAAAACAACAACACTTCCAGTACTCACCACAGAACCCCTGGATGCTTGTCTCTGAGGTTGTTGAGCTGAGTTGTAGAAATGAAACTGAACTCTAAAACGGGTAGCATTGAAATTGGGAATGGTGTCTTTTCCTATCACAGTTGAGAATGATATTAATACACAGGTTCTTGTATCATAAAACAATGACTTGAAAGAAAGTTTAGAGAATACTCATTTTGAGAAAGTAAACATGAATATTTATTATGAGACTTTATGAAATTGTTATGAAATTATGAGAAACCCCTCCAATTTTTTTGGCTTTTAAACATTAGTTTTGATGTAATGTACACAAATTGTACATTGTTTATCAGGCACATGATTTTCACAGTATGAGTATATGGCTAAAATGTTTAATGAGCTTCCTAACTTTTGTGTCTCTTCTTTGAAGCACAGGAGGGTCAAACCCAATGCCTTGTTCATGCATGGCAAGTTTAGACCTCTGAGCCACGGGTCCAGCCCTTCCTCCTTTCCTTTAATGGCAGAGAAGAGACCAGCAGGGTGATGCTGCCCGAGTTGGGCCCTATCAGAATGAGAAGGAAGCATCCTGTCTCCAGATCCCTCCTCCTCCTGCATATGCCAGGGTGGTGGGAGCAGGACCTCTCCTGGGAATGGGGAGATCAGGTATTTGGCCAGCGGAGGAGGAGGAAGCAGAGGTGAAACAAATTACTCTTTCTTCCTCCCCCCACCCCAGGCAGCCTGGAGAGAAGTAGAGGAGACTAGTTGCAGGATGCTGGATTGCATAGCCCTCCAGGGATCACACACAGGATGAAGACTCAGCAGACGGGCAGCTAGGATCTGGTTCCTTCCACTCAACAGTCAGTGCAGTGTGGGCAGCCCTCTGATCCAGGCCAGGGCTTCTTCAGGGGTGGAAAGGAAAAAGAGAGGCGTGAGTGGAGAAAAGAGTCGTGGAATGAGGGGTGAGTTCAGGTCTGCCATTTACTGGTTGAAACAGTCCCTGACACCAATCTCTTCTCACATGCCTGCTTTTTATCAGATGAGTAACCAGACCTTTCTATTGAGTGGTATCTTCGTGTGCTAACCCAACAGAGACAAGTTTTAAATACTGAAGTGTGTGGTGGCAAGGACACTGTGCATCTCACCTGTCTCTTGTCCAGCCACGTGGAGGCACCTGGGGTTATCTCTGCAGGAATCAAAGTACTTCATGAACACATGTTCACACTCCGAGACCTATCATTTTAGCGTCCAGCCAACCCCACCCTCAAAAGCCAGTCCCCAGCTGTCCCAGAGCAAGTACTGGGAAGAGGATTGCCTCAAAATCCCAGGCTCACTTGTGGATATTCAGGTTCTACTAGTCTGACTTTCACCCGAGAAATCTGTAGGCAAGCCAGGATAAGGTTAGGTTGATAAGAGGTTCAGGTATTGACATGTAAGGAAGTATTCTTCACTGGTTACTTGGGTATTGGTGACATGATGCCCAACACAAACAATCTAAAGGAATAAGGTTTTTCTTGACTCATGGTTTCAGAAGGGTCTGTTTGAGGCCAATTGGCCCTATGTGCTTGGGCAGAATGTCATGGTTGCAGGGGTGTGCTGTGGAGAAAGCTAAACGTGATAAACGTGAAACAGAAAAGAGGAAAGTAGTTCAACCATGGGTCGACACACGCTTCTTTCAATTAGGTCTCGGGTCCTAAGAGACAAGAACAGTCCATCAGCCGGGGACCAGTGTATTTCTTACTGAAACCCTATCAGCTTGCTCTCAGAGCTGGTCCAGTGCCTGTTCCCACAGAAGTGATGGGCTCTCATTGGCCTCACCCTGTCCTACCCTCATCAGTGACAACTGGCCATACTTTGGGTCTGAGTGTATCTTTTCAAGGGATTCAGTGATGCCCATTCACACTGTTCTGTATTCAATCCACCCTTCTCCAGAGCCTTTCATCTTATCACAACCATTGTTCTATTTCCTGTCCCTCTGGACTTGACCTCTGTAAGCATCTCTCATATAGGCAGATGCAATGCTGGAGCTGAGAGTCCTATGTCTTGCAGACAACAGGAAGTCAACTGACTGTCACACTGAGTGAAGCTTGAGACAAGAGACCTCAAAGGCCACCCACACAGTGACACACTTCCTCCAACAAGATCATACCTACTCTAATAAGGGCCACACCCCCTAATAGTGCCATTCCCTTTGGGGATCACTTTCTTTCAAACCACCACACTCATCCATTGTGTAGTCTGTGTCAGAGTTTCCTTTAAAGGCTGTGTAATATTCCATGGCATGCATGTGTACGCATCCTGGTTTGCTCATTCGTTTGTCTGTTGATGGACATTTAGATTGCTTCTGTATTTTGGTTATTGGGAATGATGATGCAATGAATGTGGGTGGATCTAGGCCCTGCTTTCCATTCTGTTGGACAGATGCCTAGAAGCAGACTTGCTGGGTCACATGATGATTCTATTTTTAATTTTTTGAGGAACTTGTTTTCCATGGGCTGTACCAATGTCCCTGCCAACACTTATTTAGTTTTTGATAGTACCCATGAATGTGAGGTGATTTTGATGAATTTTAAATAAAGACAATATAAGTTTTGCCACATAAAAGCTATTCTAAAAGCTCTGGGTCAAAGCAATTACCATCTGCTTAGCTTATCATCATCTGGGTGGTTCTGGCCTTGGCCAGACTCCGGGTGTCTAAGGCTGGCTGTGGGTTGGCTTATCTGGGATTCCTCCAGCTGGGATAGCTCATTGGTGTTTTCTGTCGTCTCTCTTTCCACAGGCTATCCCAGTTTGTTCACAGGAAGGCTGGGCAGGGTTCCTGAAGAGTGTGCTGAAGCTTGTTCAGGAGTGGAACACCATAACTTCTTCCAGATTTTGTTGGTCAAAGTGTACCTAGAGGACAACTCAGACTCAGAGAAAATGGAGAGAATCTCACCATGTCATGGGAAAGTCTGCAAAGGATTGTGAGTATGGCATAGTAAATAACAACAACAACAGCTACTACAACTTATCATCATCATCACCATCATCATAGTCATCATCATCACTTTGCAAACAATCTAGAATAATGTTTCAACAAGTTTTCAAAGAAGACAGCCCTAGGAACTTCATTTACAGTTTGCTCTGATGGGCTCACCTGACTTGTGAGTTTCAGAGGTGCTGGTTTACACCTGAAAAATGAGACTATTCTGAGAATTATAGAATCAAGGCCATCAGCACAATGACTTCACATTGGAAAAATCCACCCCCTGGAATTCATGAATATCTTCAAAGAAGTGATTCTTATACGCATGAACCATAGGGGCCCAGGCTTCAAGTCCCCATTCATTTGCCCTACACAGCAGACTCAAGGATAACGCTGTTCACAGAACCTTGTACTGTTATTAGAAGTCATCATGCATTTGGTTTTTCTGTCACTTTTAAGAGTCCAGTCCTGACCTGGCCTGATTCTCCCTCAAAGCCACAGTTGTCAAGGAGCCTCCACAGAGACCCACAGTCTGCACAACTGCTCAGAAAGCTAAAGTCAACTGGGAACTAAAGACTTCCAGAGCTCAGAGATTTTCTGTTTGGCTAGACACAGTGTTCATTTAGATTGAACAGACAGAGCTGCTGTTGGGAAGTAGGTATGCGAGCAGTCTTCTGAGATGGTAAGTCAACTCCTGGCTGCTCAGCTCGGAGGCTTGGAGAAAGTTTAATTTTGATTATAGTTAAAATATACTGCACAGCAAAGCACTCCAAAGCCATGGTCAATGGCTAGAAGCATTGTGTTTCTTTCCTTCTGTGTCTAGGGGTGACTGGAGGCTAAGCTGACCTTGACTGGGTCATGCCTCACTTCAGAAAATGGACTAGGTCCATGCTATTGTAAGCTTTAACTGTCAACTTAACACAGTCTAGAAGGGAGTCTCAATTGATGGTTTGCCCAGATCAGATTCACCTGTGAACATGTCCTTGGAGGTTGTCTTGGTTGTTAATTAATTGATGTAGGAGGACCCAGCCCACTTTGGGAGTCATCATCTCTAGACAAGTGGGCTATATAGGTAAGCGAGCTGAGCATAATCCAGAGAGTAAACCAGTAAGCATCCTCCTTCACAGTTTGTGTATCAAGCTCCTGCCTAAATTCCTGCCCTCAATGATGGACTGTGACCTGTGAGCCAAAATAAACCCTTTCCTCTCCTATGTTGCCTTTGGTTAGAGTGTTTTTATCACTAGAACAGCTCAGCTCTATTCCACAAACCCTGTGATGCCTAAACTGTTTTCTATTGGTTCTTTATTGAAAAGGGTTGCCGGTCTGTTGTAAAGGATCATGATCTTAGGACAGAACTAAGGGTAGGGTGAGAGGATACAGGTTTCATGAGCGTGCTTTGGGGGTGTGTCTGCCACCCGCTCTGGGTGCTGGGAGGGAGTTCTGGTTAGAACATTGGAGTGCACCTCCAATGGACTGGACTAACCTCATGGACATGTGTTCCCTGTGGCATGTGTTTTGGACATGCCTCAGCCCCAGATGGTCCCGTGGCCACACTCAGCTTTCCCCCTGGTGTCACTTGCTATGGCAGCTCCAGGTCCAGCCTTTCTTCCTGTGGCTGTCCATGAAGCCTGTGTCCTCCCGCCCTTCTCTTATGAAGCCAGTGTGCTTTGAAAAGCAGCTGTCTTAAAAATTCCCACAACACATGGCAGCTACACTTCCGTGGTCGGTGTGAGGCAAGAGGATCCATTCCCTTAGCGCTCAGCTCAGCACAGACTTGCTAGGAGCCACCAGTTCTGGTCACAGACTCTGAATTCCGCTCAACACAGGCTTAGGCATGGGGAAGAGAAGAGGGTCCAGCCACTTCCCACACAAAACTAACCACAGTCCTCTGCCAGCCAGAGTTTTCTCAACTCTGCTTTTGACCTGGGATTCAATGCAATTCAACAAATGTTCACCGAGAAGCCACAAAGTTTCAAGGAGTGGAGATCAATCCACAGTCTATAAGCCCAGAGGAGCTCACACGGTGATGAGCGAAGTTATTGACTTCAGCATCCCCTGAACAGGCAGCGCTGCTGCTCAGGGATGAGTGGGCAGGCTCCAGGCAGGCTGGACTTAGCCTTTCCCGCTTGAGATGGGACCATACCTGGGTGTGGCTATGTAGCCAAGACCTTAGCATCACAGACTAGTGGAATGGCTGCAGCTCAAGACAAATGAAGTTAGGCTTTTGTCAAACTGTGATCACAGGGTTTTGGTTTGAGAAATGGGTACAGTGTCAGGTCTCTGGGATGTTCTAATAGGGTAGTGCATTTTGGGACTCTGGCTACTGATGGTCTCTAGAAACAGCTGAAAAAAAATGTGTCTGGCAAAGAGTTAAACTCTTAGAGTCGTGGTTCTCAAAGCAAGAACAGAAGGGGGGAAACTGAGGCAGGAGTGCTTGACTCTGGTAAGGTGGTATGGCTATATTAGGACTTCTGGGATCCACTAGGTTTTGAAAAGACACCAGTTGTGGCTGAGTTTTCTGAACTACCTCACTCAAACTGGTGCCAGCCAGGTCCCCGGTCAGGACTAGGCATGGGAATCACTTTGTGTGGCAGGTTTGTTCTTTTGGAAAAGTGCTTAGCCCTGCAGCCCAGTCATAGAGTTGTCTCCATGCAATGGCTGGCAGTCACACTATTCCCAAAAGGGACACCTCATGCCTGAGAGAGCTTGCCCTTCCATGGAGTTTTCTAGAACTTACTAAATAGATGCCATAAATAGAGAATATGTATGTGTGTGTGTGTGTATGCATGCTATAATAACTCTACAAATAGCACGCGTGTGCACACACACACACACACACATACACACAGACACCCCACTTCATCGGGATCAGTTTGCAAACTTCATTTCTTTAGGATGAAGAGAAAAGAAAATTATTATTAACATATCAATGACTCCATGCTGAGAACAAGATTCCTGCAAGCACACACAGCACCCAGGGAGGGACAGACTGTATTTTAGATGTGCCCCATCCTTGCGTCTCTTTCTTCCCCGCCCCACCCCCACTCCCCTTTTATTTTACTTTATTTTCTTTTTTCATTCCTCTAAGCTTATTTCTCTTGAAATTTCCACCTTGTGGTTGTGTACTGCTGACTTCACATTTGCTGCAGTGTGAACTCCACATCTGTGAACGGATGACAGGAAAGATTAATGGCCCTGCTCCCTTCTCCTTGACTGTGGGCCCAGCTAATGAATAAATAAATAAATAAACAAACAGAGCTCCAATCCCCTAAATAGAGACCCAGAGCCGGGGAGAAAACAGCGTTTTGCTGAATCCATTCTTTGAGGCAAAACCCAACCTCTAATGATCTCTGATTTACATAGTCGGCAGTTTTTCACTAAACACTCTACAAAGACACAAAACTTTGGGGTGGAGGGATTACCCCCATGCTCATGTGAGACAGAGGCAGGGGGCTGAGAAGCCCCCAGCCCGATGGGGCTGGTACAGATCAGAGTTGGTCATGAGTGAGCAGATTTCCCACCCACACTGTCTTAGGCCAGGGACCCTCTTGCAGTTGGATGGTAAAAGGGACTCCTCCGTGGCCTGAACAGTGACTTCTCGGGAGGAAGGGTTGCTGATCACCTGTCAGCTTTAAAAGTCTGTGGCTGTGAGCAGAGGGAGCTAATTCCTTCCTGTCACCCCTCTTGTTCCCAATTCCTGTGAAAGAGAATTTCACATTTGAACTTCTTAAACTTGGGGGCATGCCCAGGTGTCCTGGGGGATGCAGAATTCTCTGTCTGGTTCTGAAAGGGTTCATCAGCTACGGGCAACGCGTTCCTGGTGAAGTGCATGGTCCAGGGAGCATGCTCTGGACAGTGGGAACCGGGGCAGCGGCTGCAGCTGTAGTTACAAACCCTCCTCTGGGGCTCTTGTGTGAAGCTCTTGTCGGCGATGTTTTCCTACCAGCCCAGCTAATGACAGCATACAGGTTTGATTATTCCCTGGTCCCTCAGCCCAACCCAGCATGCTTGCTCACGCTTTTCAGGCCAGGCTTGGAGAGTTTGTCCTTTATTGACTTCTTCGAAAGCTGCCTTTCACCTAGTCACTGCATCTCTAGCAAAGCCCACTTTTGGGGTAGGAGGATGCTTCAGTGGCCTGGCCTGGTGGAGAAACGAGAAGTTCAGGGTCATCAAAGTGCATGTGGACCCTAGGTTGGCTGCCAAAGTCTGGGGTTCAAGAAGTGTCTGCTGCAGGTGGCCCACGGCTTGGCCTCTCTGTAGAGTCAGGACTTTGAAGGTCAGATGGCACCTGTCATAGTGAACCTTTCTGTGTTTGGTACTCAGTGGCTCACTTCACTCTCAATGATGATGTAGCAGAGGTTAGACCAGAACAGCAAAAACCAGGACAGCCCCAGTGCTGGACACCCCCACCCCCAACTGAGGACTCACTGTCTCGGCAGATTTGGCCCACGGAAGCCAGGTGATGTTCGGGTGGGCAGACATGGATTTGGGCATTTGGGGATGAACGGACACCTGCACCCGGGACCCAAGCCCTGGCTGTCTTCCCTTTCACACCACTCAGGCAGTATGTCAGACTCATGCTTGTGTTTGGTCCCTAGGCAAGAATCAACCTTTGGAAGCTCAGAGCCAGGCTGGTGACTGAGCCCTGCTCACCTTACTCCCTGCTTATCCTCAAATGTTCCTCAGTGACCTGTTTTCTAGAGTCTCTGTCCAGTCCCCACTCACTAGCCAGAGCCTCTGGCTATGCAGCTAAAACAGGGATCGACTATAACACCTTCTTCATGGGTTGGGGATGATGAGCTAAAAGCATCCAGGTCAGGTTACCACCATCATAAACACCTCCAACCCTGGCCTGTGACCTTTGGGTAGCTTCTCCTTCCCCAGGAGCCCTGCTGTGTCTGACCTGATCGTCTCTACCAGGCATGATTTCGAGAAACAAATCCTAAGAGATGAGAAAAAAAGCATACAATTAAAGAATTGAGAAAGTTGTATAATCGTCTTTGTTTTGAGGAATAAATCAGTTTAAATTTGCTTTCCTTCTCTTTACCTAAATTTATTGGAGCAAAGCATATTTTAGAGTAGCACTTATTATTAACCAGGGAATCAGGCTGGGCGGTGGTGGCGCACGCCTTTAATCCCAGCACTCGGGAGGCAGAGGCAGGTGGATCTCTGTGAGTTCGAGGCTGGGCTGGACCGACAGCCTCCAAAACAACACAGAGAAACCCTGTCTCGTAAAACCAAAAAAACAAAAAAAAAAAACAAAAAAAAACAACAACAACCAGAACAACCAGGGAATCAGGATATAGAAGTAACTTGGAGTTTGCTTCAAAGCCTGAATTAAGGGCACTGCTTGTGGTACCTGGGTACATGCCTGGCAGGTTAGGGAGGCTACTCTTTGGGCCCAGATGTCTGTCTCCTCTGCCACCTCCTGGATTCCCCAACATTGGGCTCCCCAGGGCTTTAGCATCTACTCTCTGTGAACCTTATACCATTCCTTTGTAAAGAAAAGTAAGGCTTGACCTTGGAGCCACGCAGACAAGCACCCAGAGGCCCTGCTTTGTTTAGCCACAGGGGTTGGTGCAGTGATGGAGCCCAAGCCAGATCACACCCACTGAAGCTGATGCTACCCCTGGCATGCCATGACCCATAGACAGCCATGTGCAAGGAGCTAACAGACATCCCATGGCGAGACTCTGCCAGAGAGAATTTTTGCTGCTTGTTTCTGATTTACCCCTTGGGGAGAGGCCCTCACAGCACTTGATGACTATATCAGCCTCCAGGGGCTGCTATAACAAAATGCCACAGACATGGTAACTTAATATGGTTCTGGAGGATGGAAGTCCAAAGTCAATATCACTGGGACTCCACCCAGAGCCGATGGAATGACTCTCTTTCTGTTTCCTGTGTTATTTGACTTGAAGCTGTGTCTCTCCCATCCCTGCCTCCATGGTCATAATGCCTTCTTCCTTCTGTTTGTATCAACATGTCTTCTGAAAAAGATACATGTGAGAGAGAACTTGAGGGTCTATCTGAATAACTTAGGATGATCTTAATGTATTAAGATTAAATAAAATCTTTTATTTAATCATGGTTACAATGTCCTTTTCATAGAGGATGAAGCCCCAATGTCTTTTTCTGGAGGGAAGCTTTGTCCAGCCCAGTTCAAATGTAGCTAGAGGACAATCTAAA